GGGGGGGGGTACAAATTGATTATGAAACAATTACTATATTTCAAATTTTATTTAATAAATATATTGCAATATATGTCATCACAACTTCATGGTAATTTTCAACAGTTGTTTCCAAGGATAATCTTGACATTGACAAGATGGAAGTGCCATCAGTACATAAACACCTACCACCCATAGTAGACAGTAATGATCCCTCACGTAAGCTTGATAATCACCAGCATGATAATGATAGTCACTAAATGTTAATCCCTTTCATTTATCATTTTCAAAGATTGGTAATGGCTAATATCGTCTGTTCCCCTCTCCGCGAAATCCATTTAGTTTGGTTTAGTTCAAAATTCCGCGCACGCGGTGTCAAAACTTTCCACATGGGTGCCGACATTAAAGCCTACATTTCCAACCAATCAAGCGCCATAAATAAATCACGTGCTACGGTTGTGACTAGATATTGTGTTGAAACGCAGCTCTGTCGCAATGGTTGAAATGCGACGTTCCTCTGACGCATCGTTCGTCCAGTCCGCGACCACGTTAAAAACGAGAATTCCGGAACAAAATATAGTACCAGAAAATTTTATAACTGGACGCAAAAAACCGGAATTCCGGTAAAAACCGGAAGACTAGCATCCCTGTGGGTATATATAAATATATATTGACAGTTAAAGTCTCCTATTCCACTGTGACTCACCAGTTCTGCCTTCTGTTTAAAACCAGTAAAACACATAATGAGGTTTTGCATGGAGGTGCAGTACAGTGGGCGGGAGCTAAAGGGGATGTGCTGAAATACAAGGTAAACAAATACAAAGAGGTATATAAAATTGTTTAAATTTTTTTTTTTATTCATAAAACAAACATACATACACACAAAAAAAGGAAGCAAAACAAACCTGGTAAAAAGGACAAAAAATTGACCTATCACATACATAACATCAAAATTTCTGGAATATATAATACAAAACCCAACAAGTTTCTTATAGATTTATTTATATATTTAATGAGAACAAACTACCCAATGGGCACGCATACCCGTCTTTCAATATAGAGAGCACTGTGCCACAATATGACCAAGAATAAAAGAAAGCCTAATCATTCAGCAACCAGACTTTTATTTAAACAACAGTAAAGCTTATTTACAATACTTACCTCTTGCTTGAAGAAACAGATTCAAATGTATAACAATAAAAAATTATTTAAACAATTTTTGCAAAATCAAAATCTTTTAACATTTCCAGCAACAACATCCCTCACCTAACTAGGATTTAGGATATTTGTGTTCTAATCTCTCTTTAATATGTAAATAAGGCTTCGTTCACATGCAATGTCTATTTTCTAAATTCTATTTTCTATTTGCGGCATGTCTTATGATCACGGTCTGTGCACTGAATATCCCGCCGCGTAATTACTGGCAGCGTGAGCCAGTTACTATAAGTTACTATAAGTAACTGGCTCGCGCTGCCAGTAATTACGCGGCGGGATATTCAGTGCACAGACCGTGATCATAAGATAGCGCGAATAGAAAATAGAATTTAGAAAATAGACATTGCATGTGAACGAAGCCTAAAATCTACAACTCATGAAACCAACCTCCTTTTTAGAAGCACTTGAAATAACCACAGGTGGTCCTGCAATTCTGACCTCCTCTCCCCTCAGCCTAAAGTAGGTTCCGTCATTGAAATTGTCTGTTACAAATACTGTGTCATAGTCTGCATCCCTGGCAAAATCCATGCCACTCTCTGAGTAGAAGACAGGTAGGCCATATTGCTAAAATAAAAGAAAAAATGTTTAGGCTGATTACAATTCTGGTAACTTGGCAAAAGCAGACTACCTGAGAGTCATTGCAAAAAAACTGAATGGTTAATATTTATAGGAATTAATCAAAATCCAATATGCAACACAAAGAAAAGTATCCGTAAATTCTATACTAAGAAGTTGTACAGCCACTAATAAAAAAATCAATGAAATTCTGAAGAAACTGGCAGTGCAACTGATGGCTGGACTGCTGTGTATAGAAAGTCTGAGGCACTACCAGTGTTCAAATTGGCATTTCTTTTTAAGACATTAATCTTTTACATTTGCTTTCTAACATCTGAAAAAATACACAATAAAATTAATTAATTACATTCACAAAATGATAGCAATAACTCAAACTGGTGTATAATATACAGTACCTTCACAGCTCCCAAAAGTTTTGGATGCCTTTCACAGCAGTTATTAATAATAACAAATCGCTTTTCTTCCAAACTCCTCCTCTCTACAAAAATGAAAAATAGATCCGTGCTTCAGTGATCAACTTCTGTCAGTTTTCATGATCAACCCAATCATTTAAAAATCCAATTAAGAGACACAAAGCATTTGTTTCAAGAAGCAAAGGAATCTGAAACCATGCCATTTGGTTTCTCAGCTATAAAGGAAGCCCATAACTTTACCAAAGAGAGAATAGCGACATTTCATTAAGAAAAAACAAGTCTTGTTCTATTAAAATCCAATTATTCAATATTCTGACACACGTCATTTCAAACGAACAGATACACATACATGACAACTTTTGATGTATAAATATTTTGGAGGCTAAATTAATCAAAAGTAGGATTTACCTTCCCTGGACTCAGCCAAAGTTTCCATGCTACAACTAGCGCTCGTACTGCACAAGGAATCCGCCATTTTTTCTTTTTCTTCTGAATCTCTCAGGAGGCCAAATCTGTTGGCCACTTGGTCCTGAATACCTTAACTTTCGAATCTAAAACAACCATGCAACGCGTGTGTTTTAATTGAACTGGAAGCTATAATTTTACGGCTGATCCAAACGTAAACATCACATTTCGAATTGCGGCGGCTGTTCAAAATTGACCTAATTTCGTATTGGCTGTCAAGTGGTCACATGGTACCCACAATGCACCGCTAGACCGGAAGCACGAGTGTCTGACAGGAGGTTGTGTGAGTTTTACGTTTACTCTACGCATTTAATTTGATTGGAAGAATGCAGTCTTTTAATGAACAGTGACGTGTAACTCACAGAAGAATTACCCCCTTTTGTTAACTGTATAAAACGACAGAGTGAACATTGAGTGGAAGCGACATAGGTTGAAGAGACTCTCGTAGTTTATAAACACGATTTAAATTACGATGTCTCTCCATGCAGTCTCTGTCCCTCAGATACTGGATTTTGTACAGATGAACTTAAAATTCTGGGTGGATGCATTGAAATAAAATGGGAAGTTTGTGCTAGAATTTGGTCTGTTGTGGATGTAATACTTGGTATAAAACCATGGGAACGAATCCAAACGAACATACTGTAACTTATTTTAAATGTGTCAGTTGAGACGTTATACACAAAGAGGCCTTCACAATCACAGCTAATGTAAGATTGATTGAGACCATACGAAAAACGGGAGAAACCGACAAAGACTAAAGGGAAAGCCCAAGGAAAACCAAAGATCTCCCAAATTAACAAGTGGGTTCTGAAATAATGGCAGACAAGTGAGTGCAGTGCGGCAGTTAATAAAAGCTGAGATAATTTATGCAGGCATTTTTGGTCACCTCCTTCCATACTTACGGATTTAGTGAAGGACCTTCCTTCGACTTGTGAAATTAGAGTTTTGACGAGCTGAAACATAGTTCTAAACAGTACCAAATGGAACCCTTCGCCCTCTAAAATACCTTAACTTTTTTGGGCTCTTCACCGGGCCCTAGGCCTACACCCAACGGTCGGCTTCGCATCCGCAGACCTCCCTTCAAATAATCAGCTGGATTCGCTCCTGCGATCAGCTTTGTTATATAAGTGGGATTTTTTAAAAATTCGGGTCGCCTCGCTGGGTAAATAAATGTATAGGCCTAAGATAATCAACTAGGAAGAACGATGAAGTCAAGGTCTGTCTAGTCTTTGACGTCAAATAGCTGGATAGCATCCCATAGAAATAAAATAAAAATTATTAAAAATGATATAGCCTACATGCGAACCGAGCATCGGTGGAGCGTGGATTCCCAGTGACACATATAAACCACGTTTACAAGTTCCTTATACGACTCAAATAAATTCGACATGCGAAGGAATAAACTGAATAGATCACTCGATCAGCGGTAAAAGAGCTTTAGACTGCTCCTTTCTTTAAAGTTTTGGTCAAAAATGTAACCTACTTTCGTTACCTACTTTTCTGCCCCATTGATATAGGCCTACAGCAAAGAATGCTAGCAGAAAATCCGTTTAAACATCATTTTCAGGTAAAATTCAAAAATACCATTTGGTAATTCTCTTAGTTATGCTACTTGAAACTATATGCTGGCATTTGGTTGGTTTTTGTGGCAAAAATTGACTTTATATGCATCTTTAGCATGGCCGTAGACGTACAGTTCTGAACATGTTGTTTTCACACGATTATTTGATCAACAATGTTCTGAAGATTTGTTTAAAGCATTCTAAATGTGGTTGTGCAAACTCCTTATCTCGTATTACATATCTGATCTTTTTCAATCAGTCACAGTCCCGACCAACAATGTTGACACAAAGGTTTGAGGACTTTTCCGCTTATATAATTATGGTACTTATCAGTCCTGATATATTCCGTCACGCCTGGTACCACGTGCACCCTGAGATTCATACTCATTGTGGAAACCGTTGTAACTTGACAGAGAGTTCCTCATAATAGGGAGTCCGCTTCCCATTCATTTGCACAGGTAAACCTCGCCCTAGATTTTGGCCCACTTAGGTCAGGTTAACCCTAACCATTATAACTAAATGGAGGGCGGACTTTCTGTTACGCGGACCCTCAGTTTCGTTTCAAGGATTCCATGTTCAGTTATAGACAGCAGCTACCACTAAGACTTCATGTTTAATTCAGGGCACCTGCTGCCATGTGGCCTTGTATATGTGACCTTATTGAACCGATCAGTCTCCAATTCTGCATCTTCAAACAAAATGAGTAATATTTTTACTACACTGTTTGGATATACGGAGGTAACTCCAGAACTGTGGGACAAACGAGGAAAAATTAAAAGTGTTGTTTAATAACACTATTTGTCATTGCATATTTTGGAGGCTTTCAGACGTGTACTGTGTGGTGCAAGAGTGTGACGATGATCGATCGAGAAAAAAAGATGGATGTTTCGATGTGATTTATTCGTAACACATAGGCCCTATATACCGCAGCTCCCGCTCGTCAAATTTTAATTTACCAAAGATTATAAAAAAGAAATAACATTTTATAAATGACAGGACAACACATCAACTTTTAACATTAAAATTGTTCTGGGACCATTTCAATTTATCAAGTTCGAAAAGGTGAAATCGCATGTAGCATTTTTGCGGTCACCAAGAATGTGCACGTGGCCAAGTTCACAGGAGACGACGTGATCTCGCGCCATTTCATGCTGCTGCCCTGGATCTCGCATGTGGACTGATGTCTCAATAAATAGCTGCCTGATTACAATAGAGATATGTTCATGTTGATTAATGCGGCAAGCCAACAGGCAAATGATGGTGATATTTGTGGACGTATTAGTATACCCATGCTACATTAAAAAGGGCAAAGTTACCTAGCTAGACATAAGCGTGATTACTGTCAGTGAAGACGGTGGAGACTCAATGGTCACATGGATGCGCAAACCGTTTCAATAGGTAGGCTTTTGATTATTTAAAATATTCATTATTTTTATGCTTATTGATATTGATAATTATTTCATCTCTTAAAAAGTCTCAGGGAGAAATTTCCCCAGTGCACTTTGTCCAATATTTCAGTTGGTTCCAATTTCTTTTTGGAACTATCTGCAGTTACCTTGCAGGCGTCCACCTACTTGAGTGGTCGGTATCACGCTATTTTGCTGAATATATCTCCATAATCAGAACAGTAGGATAATAAGCAAAGTCCTTTTTCATAAAGTAAACTACAATGACAAGGTAGGGTCTACTGAACGGAAAGCTAACCGTTCAGAAACGCAAACGTACTACGCGCACTTGCACACCCTTGCAGATGCACTCTCACAACTACACATGCACAAGCGTACGCGTGGTAAAACACACATGCGTGTTCAGCAATGCAATTACAGAACTATAACAAAAGTTGAACGGGCGGAAGATATAATTATTTAGCGTATACGTAGGCTAATATCTCTTCAACTGAGAAAAAGATCACATATAGGCCCTATATCTACATTTCATACGAGCTGAGGAATGTTGCCCTTTGTCAATAACATCAGTAAACCAAATGTTTAAAACAGCGTGAAAAACTTAACCACACATCGCACCAGGCAAAAAAATTCAACGCCAAATCCATCTGTGAATCGAGATAGGTTGAGTCGTTTCCACAAAGAGGTTTTAGTGAGGAGATTGGTCTTTTCCATCGTGCTTTACGCAGCACAGCGTCGGACAACCACCATACGAGAACGGTAAAAAAAAGACCTTCCAAACTTTTGAAACGTGGTTCTGACAGAAAGAAACAGACAATATACTCGGCAGTGTAGACGGAGGCGAACAGTGGAGCTGGCAATGTACCGGTAGAAGCACTGGACAATTTGGTCAACCTAGATAGGCCTACCACACTGAAGTCGGCAATGTGACAAGAATGAAGATGATAACTGTGAAGATGCATTTAGAGCAAATGTATGGAAGCTGTGATGATGACGAATACGACGACATGATGATGATGATATGATGAATGTGTTTTGTTGCTTAAATTCGAGGTAAAGACCAACCAAAGACGAGATGGTTGGACGAGGTGAGGGAAGCGATAGGCGGACTCCAGAAGGCGAGACAACTGAGTGAAGACCCGAGTTGGATGGGGATGCTTTACACGTGGGTATCTAGGAGTTTGCCACGACTCGGCGGCAACAGATGACAATGTAAGCCTTATGTTTTGTCCTTAACTCTAGTCATAATTATAAATATATCGCAAATAAGACATTTTTGATTTACTAGAAGCAAGAACAGAGGAGACGCAAAGCCATCAACACGCAGCAGACTGGCTGGCGAGGCCCCTTGATAGTATAGACATACTGAAAAAATAATAAAATCCCTGGAGAAACTTGTCATATTAATCATCAAATTATCAACGACTTTATTTGTTTCCTCGTGTGAGAAAGTGGTATTAATATTTGTGCTCTTGTGTCCAAGTTCATGTTAGGTCAAGGACTGTGAGACCTGGTTCCCATCCCTAGATCGATCTAACAGGATCGGTCCATCTCCAAGCGGCTAGACGTCTAGGACGCCCACTAAAGCTGCAAAACGATAGTTAATCACCCCCTATCAGCCTCAGCAGGCGTGACAGACATCTAAGCCGCCCAAGTTAATTGGAATTAGGCGAGAATCCCCTCGGAGAAAGTTCGATCCAAAGTTAGTACGATAGGGTCTGGGAATGGTCTCTAAGACTGGGTTCCCATGCTTAGATCGATCCGTCTGGATCGACCTAACTTCCTGGGGGTTCACGCTAAATTGCTATCGGCTGAAGAGGCTTATATGTCTGTCAAGCCTAGCGAATCAGCTAGAGCGTAATTAACTGGGCCTTGCCGACAGCAGATAACAATTTAGTGAGACTCCCAGTGGAGATAGATCGATCCAAATATCTGTGGAAAATGTCCCTAAGTCGTGTACATTGGCGCCGATATGTAAAGCCACTTTGCAACCACGTCACTTCCGGGTGAACCCGATGGTGGGCGAGGGGATGCGCAGTTCGCAGTGAATTGTCGTGACGACATAGCGATTGGAAGTCTGTAGCTATACAGTATTTTAATTTGTATTTTCAACCCTGTTTTTGGTTTCAGTGCGAGTTTATGTGAACTAAAACATATAGCAATGCCTTAACAAAATCATGGTCTGAAGTCGGCGGATTTGGCCAACTCTCCATCTTCTGGTAGGACTACATAGCTCTAA